AAAGAAAGAAAGAAAGAAAGAAAGAAAGAAAGAAAGAAAGAAAGAAAGAAAGAAAGAAAGGAGCAGCCAGTACTTCTAACCTTTGAGCCACCTTTCCAGCCCCTTCTTTTTCTCCCTCCCAGATAGGGTCTCATTTATAGTCCAGGCTGGCACAGATTCACCTTGTAGCCTAGAATTGCCCTAAACTCCCAATCCCTCTGCCTCATCCTCCCACATGCTGATTACAGATGTGGACTGCTGTGCCCAGAAGTCCTCCTGCTTCTGTGATTGGGCATTCAAGGGGCTGTGGTCATCAGATGCTCTTCTGAGCTACATGTTGCTGATGGCCTCCTGCTTGGTCCGCACTTGGTACTGGAGTGTCATATCCTGCAGCAGCCAGTAGCTAGGAGATGGTTCACACTCCTGGGGACAGGCTGTTTCATTCAGCATGGTAACCTCAGAGCTTCAGTAGAGCCAATGGGAGCCCCCTGGGCTTCCAAAGCCTGGCAAACAGAGGCCATATGTATTTATGCTGGCTGGTCAAACCTCAAGACTGGCTCATGTTAGTATGGCCTCTGTGGGTACCATGATAGAGGATATATTCAGTTCCTCAGTTAAGTAGCTAAGTGTCCAGGGCCATTCTCAGCTAGCCACACTCATGACAGGCTGCTTCCTATGTCTGCTCTAGGGACATAGCATCTCAAGAAGGATGATGAACACAGAAGAAGGGCCTGCTGGGGACATTGGTCACTTTTTTTTTTTGGTAGATAGGTTTTACTATGTATTCTTGGCTGTCTTGGAACTTTCTATGTAGACCCAACTGGCCTTGAATTTACAGAGATATGCCTGCCTCTGCCTCCTGAGTGCTGGGGTTATGCCACTAGGTCCAATTGACTACCTTTGACAGTACCACTGTCACCCTCAGCTCAGGTCTAAGCCATCATTTTAAAGCAGGTGGCTCCCTAGCTACTCTCTGAGTAGAGGTCATGTTCAAGGTCACGATGGCATTCCACAGAGCGTCACTGACAATCATCAGCAAAGCTACTTTATGTTGAGTGCTACACTTAAGGCCCCAATGTCCCTTGCAAGCAATACAAAATGTTCAGAAATATTTCCTCCTCCTAGCCGGATGTGATGGCACACACCATGACCCCAGCCATCAGGAGGTAGAGACAAGAGAATAAGGAGTTCAAGGTCAACCTCAGCTACATAGCAAGTTGTGGCTAGCCTGGACCACATGGACTACCCTATTCTCTTTCTCCCTCCCTCCCTCCCTCCCTCCCCCTCTCTCTCTCTCTCTCTCTCTCTCTCTCTCTCTCTCACACACACACACACACACACACACACACCCTTGTTCTACATGTGAGTCATTCGTCTGAGGTCACCACACACACCACACACAGCAGAGCCCAAATTCATATCTAGCCTGTGTTGTACCAGAGTGGGCGCTCAGGAGGTGCAGCAGCAGGGGCTGCTGGTGGTCAAGCTAGATGAACCTGCAGCTCCAGGTGTCTCTCCTTGAACTCCCCTGTGGGTAGGGAGCTCATTACCTGTATATCCCTTCCTGGCCATGGCCAGTTTCATGCCACAAAGAGGGATCCTGATGCTATGGTGGAGTTCTAAGCCGAGTCCTCAGTCTCTCAATCCTCGCAGCCTGGAGAATGACTAGTTCCGAGCATATGTCAGGCCTCCTGGGGGAGGGGATTCCCAAATTCTTGTTGTTTAACTATAAGATGTACTGTCATTCTGTAGCCCTGGCTGAGCCAGAACTCACTGTGCAGACCACGCTGGCTGTAAACTAACAGAGATCTGCCTGCCTCTGCCTCCCGAATGCTGGTCCCTGCTGGCCACGAACTCACAGAGATCCACCTACCTGTCTGCCTCCTGAGTGCTGGGATTAAAGGTGTGTGCCACTACTACCCAGCTTGTTTGTTTGTTTGTTTGTTTGTTTGTTTATTTTAAAGAAAGGGTCTCTCTGTGTAGCTCTGACTGTCCTAGAACTCACTATATAGACCAGGCTGGCCTCAGCCTCACAAAGACCTGCCTACCTCCGCCTCCCAAGTGCTGGTCCCTGTCTTTTCTAGGCAATAGGTCCCCTGACTCAAGCTGGGCTGTCACCTGACTGTCTGTCCTCCTGTCTGTCTGCAGGAAACTGTTTATCATGCCACCATTCAGCATTTGGTGGAGGGTGTCATCTCCGGATACAATGCGACCGTTTTTGCCTATGGGCCCTCAGGTACTGTTTGGGCGTTGTTTCCAGGAGGGTATGGGCATGGTACCAGCAGAGGTCCTCTGCCTTCTTTCTAGAGATAAGGTCTCAGGTAGATCAGGCTGGCCTTAAGCTCACTATGTAGCCAAGGACGATCTTGAACTCCCAGTCCTCCTGCCTCCATCTCCCAAGTGCCAGGATCATAAGCGTGTGTCGCCATGCTGGAGATGGGATCCAGGGTTGTGTATTCTAGGTGAGTATTCTACTGACTGAGTCACATTCCCGGTCCATATACAAACACCTATATATTTGTATATTTTTGGTAGTACCAGAGATTGAACCTAGGGTCTCATGCATTCTAGGCTAGTCTAGCACGGAGCCTCATTATAAGCACCAGGGACTATGCACTGGGCTTTGTCATCCACACCTCTGAAAGGTGAAAATGTTCCCTCATCACAGGAAATAAGAAAACTGCCCCAGGGTTAGAGTAGAGTTCAGGGAGTGTTTGCAAACAGGAGGCTTAGGCCTGTCACCCCAGTTCCCCAGTTCTTTGAGAAACTAAGGCAGGAAGCTCACAAGTTCCAGGCCAGCCTGGGCTATATAATTTATTTGTCTCAAATAAATAAGGAAAGGAAAAAGAAAGGGCCAAGGATATAGCTGGGTAATAAGTGCTTGCCTGGTCCGGAGTCTACAGAATGAAGTTAGTTCTCTTCTCCTTGGGTGAGGACTGGAACTCTGTCTGTGTAAGTGAGGCCTGGCTGCTTTATCCATACACCAGTCAGTGATATGTCAGGTTTAAGGGGAGCGACAGGCCATGCTGTATTGCTTGGGGGCAAATGGGGAGGGGGCTGGTGATATCCCCCTTATAAAGAACGCCCCCTGAAACTATGCATGGGGTCAGGCCTCTTACTGCACAGCACATTTGAGCCCCACTCTCCTGCAGGTGCTGGGAAGACCCACACCATGCTGGGCATGGACGCGGAGCCTGGCATCTATCTACAGACCCTCACTGACCTCTTCCAGGCCATCGAGAAGACCCAGGACAACATGGAATATAGTGTATCTATGTCTTACCTGGAGGTGAGCTGGCTCTTGTGCCTCAGTTGGATCAACTGCAGAATGGGTACAATACTAACTGCCTGTGCAGAACTCATTCTCAGGGTGTAAACTCCCCTGCAGATCAGGATTCCAATTGGTTCTTTTAAAAGTATTTTAGGGGACTGGAGAGATGGTTCAGCAGGTAGGAGCACCGGATGCTTTTCCAGAGGACTTGGGTTCAACACCCAACATTCACATGTTAGCTCATAATTGTCTATAACTCCAGTTTTAGGTGGTCCAACATCCTCTTCTAGCCTCTGAGGGCTTTGCATGCAAGCGTTGCACAGACATAGATGGCAAAACACCCATGCTAATAAAATAATTTAAAAATTAGTTAAGCTGGGCTCGGTAATGCATGCCTTTAATGTCAGCACTGAGGCAGGTATACCTCAGAGTTTGAGGCCAGCCTGGTCTACAGAGAGAGTTCCAGGACAACCAGGGCTAAACAGAGAAACCCTGTCTCAAAAAACCAAAAGAATTTTTTAAAAATTTATGTAAATGTATGTGTGTTGCCCTGCATGTGTGTCTGTGTACCAGATGCTTTCCTTGTAGCCACAGAGGCCGAAAGAAGGCGTTGGATCCTCTCGAACTGAAGTTACAGACAGTTGAAATCCACTGTGTGGATGCTGGGACTTGAACCCCGGTCCTCTGCAAGAGCAGCCAGTGCTCTTCAGCCGAGAGTCATTTCTCCAACCCCTTCTTTATGATTCTTTGCTACTTTGTCCCAACCTTTCTGTTCTGCTCCAGATTTATAACGAAGTCATCCGTGACCTCCTGAATCCGTCTTCTGGATTTCTGGAGCTGAGAGAAGATTCTAGAGGCAGCATCCAAATTGCAGGCATCACGGAAGTATCCACCTCAAATGCTCAAGAGGTGAGGGTCACAGCCCAGCCCATAAAGTTCTCCTTGTTCAAGTTTGCTGAGCAGCAGCCGACAGGTGGGTCCAAGCCAAACTGTTTTCTGGCATCTGGACTTGATCTGAGGTCTCAGGTCTCTGCAGTCACCTATGCCTCCTTGCTGGTACTCCAGGCAGATATCACCTGTCGATCCTGTACGCTGCCCTCAGCCGCCAGGTGCAGAAACCCCCTACTTCTCAGTCCAGTCCACCAGGTGACCACAGCTGGCTGGAAACCTCTAGCTGACCTTTCTTTGTAAGGGAAGGCAGCAGATTTTCCTGACCAGCTCCTTTCCTCGCCCTTCCTCCTCCTCTCCTCTTCCCTTCCTTCCCCCAGTCTTTCTTTTCTCAAGACAGGGTATCTCTGTGTAGTTCTGGCTGACTTGGAACTTGGGTTGGGCTTGAACTCACAGAGGCCCACCTGTTTCTGCCTACTGAGTGCTGAGATTAACAGAGTTCCCCACCATGCCTCTTTCTTTCTCCATTTTTTTTTAAAAAAATTATGTGTTTGTTTATTGACTCTTGTGACAGGGTTTCTCTGTGTAACCCTGGCTGTAGACCAGGTTGGCCTCAAACTAGAGATTCACCTGCCTTTGCCTCCCAAGTGCTGGAATTAAAGGCATGTGTCACCACCACCTGGCTTTGAGGACAACTTCTTTAAAACGACTGATTTTTATTTTATGTGTTTATTTTATTTTATGTTTTTCCTGTGTATGTCTGTGCACCACCTGCATGACCTACAGAGGCCAGAAGAGGGCAATGGATCTCCTGGAACTGAAATTATAGACAGTTGTGAGCTGCCATGTGGATACTGGGAATTAAACTCTGGTCCTCTGGAGTGGCCAGTGCTCTTAACTGCTGAGCCATCTCTCCAGTACTCCACCTTGTTTTTTGCTTTTGTTGATTTTTTGAAACAAGGTCTCTTATAGGTCTAAAACTTACCAAACAGTAGGCCAGCTGACCCAGTCATCTCTCTCTCTCTCTCTCTCTCTCTCTCTCTCTCTCTCTCGCTCGCTCGCTCGCTCTGGGATTACAAACACATGCTACTATGTCCAGCTTTTTTTCCCCTGTTGATTCTGGGGATCCATACGCAGTCTGTGCAGTACGCCCTTTACTAACTGAGCTGTCTCTTTAGCCCTGGATTTTTTTTTTTTTTGACAAGACTTCACACTGCAGCCTAAAGACTGGGATTCACTATGTAGCCCAGATTGGGCTTACCCTTATAGCAATCCTCCTGCCTCAGCCTCTTGAATATTAAGATGACAGATATGAGCTACCATGGCCTAGATGACAGTGAGCACCTCAGCCCCCACTCTTACCTCATCCACACTGTGCTGTCCTAGCCCTGGTCTGATCCCTACACAGCAGGGCCTGAGCAGACGGTTGCTACTCCAGTTCTATAGCTGCTTGCATGGCAAAGGGGTTCACTCCCATGGCCAACCCTAACAATTCTGCAGCTTCTGCTTCCTGGAATTGTGACTTGGAAAGGGTCAGGGCTCCTCTAGGCCCTGTGGGGAAGGGGTGTGCTAGACTGGGGATATCGCTCAGCTGGTGGAGTGCTTGCCTAGCATGTATGAGTCCATGGGTTCCATCCCCAGCACTGTATAAACTGAACATGGTAGCACACGTTTGCAACCTAGCACTCAGGAGTTGGAGGCAGGAGGATCAGAAATTCAAGGTCATCCCTGGTTGCATAGTGAGTTTTAGTGAACCCAGACAATGTGTCTCAGCTAGGGTTTCTATTGCTGTGATGAAACACCATGACCAAAAGACAAGTTGGAAAGGCAAGGGTTTGTTTGGCCTATGGTTCCTTATCAGTTCATCACTGAAGGAAGTCAGGACTGGAACTCTAACAGGCAGCTGCAGGGCTGTTGGGGTTGGCAATAGAAGTGAACCCCTCTGCCATGCACGCAGCTACAGAACTGGAGCAGCAATCCTCCTGGAGGCAGGAGCTGGTACAGAGGCCATGGAGGGATGCTACTTACTGGCTTGCTCTTCATGACTTGCTCAGCCTGCTTTCTTATAGCACCCAAGACCACTAGCCCAGGGATGGTATCACTCACAATGGGCTGCGCCCTCCCCATCAATCACTAATTAAGAAAATGCCTTATAGCTGGATCTTATGGCTGCATTTTTCTCAACTGAGGTTCCTTCCTTTCTGCTGATTCTAACTTGTGTCAAGTTAACAAAAGACTAGCCACCACAGGAAGATTTTGTCTTTAAAAAAAAAAAGGAGGAAAAAGAGATTATCCATTAGTGATGACTGTCATGGATAGAAGAAGGGCTGATGGGGTGCACGTCAAGAATCTTTAATTCCTCTAATTTACTTAACTAAATATTACTTCATGCCACAAACTAGACATTGCTGCTGTAAGAGTCCGAGCCCCAGAGTCACCCTTTCTCTTTTTCTTGGGTCTTTCTAGAAGGTATGTGTGGCCACTCAGGTCTATGACTTGCCTTCCTCTCCCTCCGCCCTCAGATCATGCAACTACTCACTAAAGGCAACCGGCAGCGTACACAGGAGCCCACAGCTACCAACAAGACTTCATCCCGCTCCCATGCCGTACTGCAGGTCACTGTGCACCAGAAAAGCCGAGGTGGTGACCTGGCAGAGGAGGTGCGCCTCGGGAGGCTCTTCATGGTGGACCTGGCAGGTGCGGAGCGTGCAGCCCAGGTACAGCCTCTCTGAGGTGCACCCACTTTCAGGTGTCCTTACTGTCTTTCACCATGGGGTCTGTCATTCTCAGTCTGAACAGGACCTTGCCTGTCCTTGTTTAAATGTTCTCTGGCACCCAGGACAGTGTTGGACCCAGAAGAGGTGGCAGAGTCTTAGGTAATGAATCCTGCAAGCATTTAGTGAGGAAGGCAGGGAGCCAATGCTTTCAGAGGATCTTCCTTGTGGCAGGCAGCTCATCCTGCACCTATTGAAGGTGAACCCCACATGTTGGGGCGACACAAAATGTCAGGGAGCAGTGTCCATGGAGGCCTGGGCTTTCACGGTCTGTAGAGGCTATGGCAGGGGTCTTAGGGCTGAGCTCAGACAGGTCCTGAGGAGCTGGGTTGGAGTACAAGGGAAAACACTTGGAGTTCCACGCTGTGGGCGGGTAGGTGGGTGCATAGGGACCCTGGCGGGAAAGGCTGCACAGCCACAGTTCCTTCCCTTGGTTTTGCTTTTTTGTTTCCTGGACGTTACCCTGTGGTTCAGGTGTTCCTTGAGGCCAGGGACCCAGCTCAGGGCTGGGCTAGAAAAGGAGTCACTTTAGGTCTATGCAGATCCAGTGTTTCCAGTAGGTAGCATTCCCCTGCCCCTCTAGTGCACACACCAGGCAACGATGCTTGCAATCTCCATAGCCATAGCTCTCCTTGGCCAAGTTCAAGATTGGCACTGCGCCTGCTTCACAGTACAGACTTGGAGCCAGTTGCAGTGGTACATGCCTGTCATCCCAGTGCTTGAGAGGCCAAGGCAGGAGGACCATGAGTTTCAGGCTTGCCTGGATGACATAGTAAGACTCTGAAAACAAAAAGAAGGGGCTAGGGATGTAACTCAGGTGGTGGAGTGCTTGCCTAGCGCACATGAAGCCTCGGGTTTCGTCATCAGCACTGTGTGAAACAAGTAGAGTAGTGTGTATGTAATCCAGAGGTGGAGGTAGAAGAATCAGAAGTTCAAGGCCATCCCAGCTTCATAGTGAGCTCAAGGCCAGCAACATTAAATTCAACCTCTATGTCCATGCACCACTTGTGTGCCTGGTACTGCGAAGGCCAGAAGAGGGTGTCTGATTCCCTGGAACTAGAGTGACAGACGATGGTGAGCCACCATGTGGATGCTGGGCTCAGGTGTGTTTGCTGGCTTCTGCACACATCTTCACCTGTTCACTTAGCTCATGCCATTGAACACTCACTATGCCAGCTGCCGGCAGGCACCCAGACGCATGGCCCAAAGGGACGGGTGTGACTTCCCAATGCTTGCATCTTATGGGGCAGCAGATGTGTGGAGGCAGGGGACTGCTATAGAGTCTGCGGATTAGAGGAAATAAGTGGGGCTGGGTTGGGAAGATCAGGCGCTGGGGCTGTGGACTCTCCAAAAGCAAGCAGGGGGACCCGTAGAGCTTAGGGTAAGTCTCCCGGTTGGAGGTAGGGTACTTCCTAGACACTCACTTGCATTTTGTTGTAAGCAGTGTTGTCTGGGTTCCAATCTGTTTATTTCAGTTAGATTTCCTAACTAACTCTGTTTCTAAGAATAGATGCTTAATATTCTACTAGTGATGTCCTATCTAGAGGTTTCCAGTCCTTAGGACTTATGAGCCTCAGTACCAGGGCAGGCAGGGTCATTCCCCACCCCTTTGGAGGTGAGCCCCCCCCTGGGAATGGGGAAGGGAAGATATCAGTAGGAAGGGGCTCAGTCCATGTTCGGCCTGGTCTCTCTGCTCAGACCCAGAACCGAGGCAAGAGGATGAAAGAAGGCGCGCACATCAACCGCTCGCTGCTGGCGCTGGGCAACTGCATCAATGCCCTCAGCGAGAAGGGTGGCAGCCGAGCTCAGTACGTGAACTTCCGTGACAGCAAACTCACGCGCCTGCTGAAGGTAGGTGCCCCAGATGGGGGTTGGGGAAGAGCACCGCAGCTGACAGTATCTTCCAGGAATTAACTGCCAGCACAGAGGCCTAAGACCCTGAAGACATCACTCTGTAGAAGTCTGAGTACCTGGCTACTGCCTGACTCTCCATTACTCTCCTGAGTGTGGTCTATTTTTGCTCACATGCCCCTAGTAACAGGGAGCTCACTACTTTCCAAGATGCTGATCCCATTGTGGATAGCTGTAACCTGTGAAAACTTCTTTATACTGAGCTTGATGCTGCCTAGATAAATAAGCAATCATAAATAAATGCCCCTACATCTGCCCTCTGGGTCTAAACTGCTCTCACCAAAGCAGCAGTCAGAAGGGGCGGCTGGAGTACGACCCACTTATCCTGGGGGTCTCCTTCCCAGGCACTACTAGCCTCACTCTGGTCCCCAGCGTCAGCTGCCCTGATCCCAGACCTCTGATGGTACTGGCAGAGAGCTGGGGCCACTGGTGACGTAGCGAGCACATGGCCTCCATCAACCCAGTTTTGTGGTTCTCACTGAGCAGGATGCCCTGGGAGGCAACAGCCGTACAGTGATGATCGCTCACATCAGCCCGGCCAGCACCAGCTTTGAGGAATCAAGAACCACGTTGCTCTATGCCTACAGAGCGAAGAACATCAAGACGCGGGTAAGGGAGTGGGAAAGATGGCCTGACTTCAGTCCCTAGACCCATGTTAAGAAACAACAACAGCAACACAAAACAAACAAACTCAGATGTGACAGCGCTCACCTATAATTCCTGTGCTGGAAAAGACACAGACAGATCCCCGAGGCTGGCTGGCCTGCCAACCCAGCTTCTCTGTCAAACTCCAGGCCACCAAGAGACCCCACCTCAAAAGAACAAGGTGAGCTGGGCGTCATACTGCAGGCCTTTATGTCAGCATTCGGGAGGCAGAGGCATGTGGATCACTGTGAGTTCAAGGCTAGCCTGGTCTATCTTAGGGAGACTCAGGTCAGTCAGGTATACACGGTAAGTAATTAAATATAAAAATAAGGTAGATGGAGCCTGCAGAATGACACCTGAAGTTGATTTCTGACCTGTACTGACACACGAGCACACACATGTATACCCACGTGAATCTCCCCCTCCCCCACAATCAGTGGTCACAATAGTTACCGGTGGGAAGATTTCTAAAAAATCCTAGTGGATTACTTGAAATCTTTTACTGTGGTAAGATATATGCGGAACAAATTTTTTCATTTTGGTTTTTCTTGGTAGGGTTTTTCTGTGTAACCCTGGCTGTCCTGGAATTTAGAGAGATAAGACTGCCTCTGCCTCCGGAGTGCTAGGATTAAAGATATGCACCACCACCACCAGGCTTCATTTAGTAATTTCCTTATTCCATTTTTCTTTAGTGTGTGCATACAAGTGTGTGCATATATGCATGTCATGGCAAGCATATGGCTGTCAGAGGGTAGCTTGTGGGAGTCAGCGCTCTTCTCCCTCCATCATGGAGGTTCTGGGCCGACAGCCTTGGTAGCAATTGCCTTTACCCCACTGAGTCATCCCTATGGCCACCCAAATTTCCATTGTAATCTCCGTGAGTCCACAGCATGGTAGCCTTGGTATAGTTACCCTGTGGTGCTACCAGAATGATTGTCCACCTTTAGAACTTATACACCAAACCAAACCAAAACTCAGTCTCCATTAAAGACCCCCAGCTTCTCCCCAGGCCCTGGCTCTACCACTCTGCTTTCTGCTTCTGAGAATCTGACTTCTCTGGCTGCCGCATAGGCCGGTCACATGGCATTCTACTTTTGTGTCTGGCCTAATACACCAAGCCCTGTGTTCTCATTGCTCTTCTGTGATATAGCAGGTCTCCAACCTGTCCCGCCGCGGGCCACACATGTGGCCCAGCACATTCATAGATAACATAATGTAGCAATGATGTTGGGTTCCCCCCATCCCTGTTTTCCCATTTTATTTCTGTTGCTGTGATAAAATACCCAGACACAAGCAATCCCAAAATGAGAAAGGCTCCTTTTGACTCATAATTCTAGGTTACAGTCTCTACTGGGGGACAATCAAGGCAAAGACAGAAATTAATGCCTGCCTGCTTATGCCCTGCTCAGTTTCTCCGTTCTTATATATATCAGGACCCTCCCCCCATACATAGGGGATGTGCTGCCCACTGTGGGTACCATCAGTTAACTTAATTAAGACAGTCCCTGTCAGACATGCCCAGCCCGGTGTAGATAATCCCTCTCGGAGACTCTCTTCCCAGGGTGATTGTAAGTTGTGTCCAGTTGACAAGCCAGTCACCACACCCAGCACGTCACCTCTCAAACCTGTCCTTCAGAACACTTCAGCCATGCCTGACCTTGGGCGCTTGTCCTCACCATCAGGTCAAGCGCAACCTGCTGAACGTCTCCTACCGCATTGCACAGTACACTGACGTCATCTCTGACCTGCGCAGGGAAATCGAGCACCTCAAGTCAAAGATTGAGAAGCAGGATAAGGAGAAGAAAAGTGACCCCAGCGTCCTGGATATACAAGGTAGTGCTGAGTACAGCTGTGCCTCCAGCAGGCCCTGATGGCTCAGTACCCTCTCCTCCCTGGAGCCCTGTGCCCAACATCCACATCCCATGGGCCCTTGGCTTCTGCTGGCCCAGGAAGTGCCTAGCCATGACCATCCTGATGATCTACATTCACGGTGACCAAGTGACCCTGTAAAGGCTGTTGTTCTTGCTTCCCTGGGAGCCTCAGGCTGGCTCTAGTTTCATGCCTACAAGATATGGGAGCTAGACTATTTTATTTTATTTTATTTTTTGAGACAGGGTTTCACTGTGTAGCTCTGGGTCTCCTAGAGCATACTCTGTAAACCAGGCTGGCCTTGAACTCACAGAGATCCCCCTTGCTTCCACATCCCAAGTGCTGGGATTAAAGGTGTGTGCCACTACATCTGGCTTATGTTCTTTTTTTTTCTATTTTTTTAGATTTATTTATTTATTATATACACAGTGTTCAGCTTCCATATATGCCTGCAGGCCAGAAGAGGGTACCAGATCTCATTACAGATGGGTGTGAGCCACCATGTGGTTGCTGGGAATTGAACTCAGGACCTCTGGAAGAGCAGGCAGTGCTCTTAACCTCTGAGCCATCTCTCCAGCCCCATCTTTTTTTTTTATTTCATTTTCTTTTATTTTTTGGTGTGAAGGCCAAAGGTCAGTGTTAAATATCTTCCTCACTCTTTACCTATTTTTGAGTTTAGGGAGAAAATTATCATAGGTTCATAGGTAGAAGCCTGAGATGTAGGCGTGCTGGTTAGCCATGTGACTGACATTCAGCTGCATGGGAAATGAGAGAGGGGGCCTTCCATGAAAGAGTAAGGAAGCCAGAACACCAGAAGAGGCAGCTCAGGCTCTGACCAGCCTGTGAGAGAAAAGACAGAAGGAGAGGAAGAAGAAAACTAGACCTCACTGAGTCAGGCCTCAGAGCAGCAGGTGGGCCCAACAGAACCTTAAAGTGGCTCAGAGCAACTGCCTTCTGGTTTGACTTTGTTTTTGTTTGTTTGTTTGCTTGTTGTTTGTTGCTTTGTTTTGAAACAAGGTATATTCTGTGTAGCCTTGATTCTTCTAGAACTCACTGTGTAGACCAGGCTGGCTCCTGCCTCTGCCTCCTGAGTGCTAGAATTAAATGTGTGTGCCCTGCCCTCTGCATCTGGCTCTTACTTTTTAACTGACTTTAAACTTTTGATTTATTTTATGTGTATTGGGTGATCTGTCTGCATGTATGTCTATACCCCATATGTTTGCAGTACCCAGGGAGGCCAGAAGAGGGTGACAGATCCCTGGACTGGAATTGCAGATAGCTGTCAGCCACCATGTGGGTCCTCTAAAGAATAGCCAGTGCTCTTAGATGTTGAGACCTCTCTCCAGTCACCTTAATATTTTTTGACACAGGGTTTCTCTCTGGGCTTGGAACTTAGCAATTGGGCCATGCTGCCTGGCCGGTGTGCCCTAGGGATCCACTTGTCTTTGTTTCTCCTGTGCTTCGGCGCTAGGATTATAGATGGGCACTATCACACCTGGCTTTGTGGACTGAATTCAGGTTATAGAGAACTTGAGGCCAGCCATGGAGACAAGAGACTGACTTGACTCCTTCTCTTAGGAAAGAAAGAAAGGAAGGAAGGAAGGAAAGAAGGAAGGAAGGAAGAAAAAAACTTGCAAAAATGGATTTTAAGGCACCTGTGTGGAGCGGGGATATGGTCCAGCCATTGTTTCTATGTAAACATGAGGACTGGTTAGGATCCTCAGCTCTCACATAAAAGCCAGTGCAGCAGGCTGGGTGCAGCAGTGCACATCTTTAATCCCAGCACTTGAGAGGCAGAGACAGGCAATCTCTGTGAGCTGGAGGCCAGCATAGACTATAGAGTGAGTTCCAGAACAGCCAGGACAGTTACACAGAGAAACAAAAATAAAACAAACAAAAAGTCAGGCAGCACTGAGTATCTCTAACCCCAGCATTGGATAAGGGAAGAGTCTGGAGGATTTCTGGAACTGGATGGCCATCCAGTCTAGCCAGTTAATGGGCTGCAGAGCAGTGAGAGACACTGTCTCAAAGTATAAGGTAGGGAGAGACTCTGAAAGATAGCCAACATTGACCTCTAGTCTGGCATGGGCACATGTGGCTGCATGCATGTATACACAGACCCACATCGACATGTACACAGCATATACACACATAACCCTCTACTCCCCTAAGGGACATACCACACACATGTTCTTTGGTTTATAAAGATAGGCTTTACTGTAATTTACAGAGGACTTCTAAAATCAATAAAAATAAGCAAGCAGCTCAATGATTAAGAGTGAGCAAGACATTTAATAGACAATTCACAGAAGAATTACTTTTATTTTTGTTTATTATTTGTGTATGTGTGTGTGTGTAGGTGTAGGTGTGTGTAGGTGTGTGTAGGTCAGAGGACAACTTACAGGCATTGGTTCACTTCTCCTACCATGTGGATTCTGGGGATTAAACTTAGGTTGTGAGGCTTGGCTGTAAGCACCTTTACCCACTGAGCCATTTTGCCAGCCATACAGAATTCTTAGTGGCAGGAAACATATAAAAAAGCCTCAAATACTTTAGGAACACAGGTGTAAGCTGAAATAGCTTTCAGTTCTTGGACTAGCTAAAAGTAAAGTGCTGGGGGAATATGAATTGTGTTAAATTGGTAATATATCAATTAGACAAAAATTAAGGTTTTCAAAGAGAAGTAAGACCATGACATATACCCATCTACTATCCTTCCTCTTGTCCGTCTATGTGCCATCTGTCCACTCACCCAACCATTTCCCTATCCATCCAACTGTCCACCCAAATATATGTTCCTCCACCCACTCATCTCCCCATCTGTCCATCCATCCACCAACCCATCCTTCCATACACTCATACATCCAACCTCATATCCGTCCCTCCATCTATTCATCCATCTACTCACACATCCATTTATCCACCCACCTATATCCCCATCCATCCTTCTCTCCACTCAAATACATATTCATCTACCCACCCATCCCCCATTCATTCATCCCTCTGCTGTCTTATCTATCCATCCACCTATGCTTCCATGCATCCATCCACCCGAATATACATACATACACATATACATACATACATACACACATGTATCTATTCAGCGACTCGCCTACTTATTCATCCACGCATCTACATATCCATCCGGCCACAACAAAATCCATCCATTTATCAATTTATGCACCATCAGTTATCCACCCATCCAAGCTGGGTGGTGGTGGTGCACACCTTTAATCCCAGCGCTCTGGATGCAGAGGCAAGCAAATCTTTGTGAGTTCGAGGTCAGCCTGGTCTACAGAATGAGTTCCAGGACAGCCAAAGCTACATGGAGAAATTCTTTCTTGAAAAACAAAAAACAATAGCTGGGTGGTGGTGGCGCACGCCTTTAATCCCAGCATTTGGGAAGCAGAGGCAGGTGGATCTCTGTGAGTTTGAGGCCAGCCTGGTCTACAAGAGCTAGTTCCAGAACAGGCTCCAGAGCTACAGAGAGACCCTGTCTCGAAAAACAAAACAAACAAACAAAAAATTAACTCCCCATCTATCCACATACCGCATCTACACATCCTCCATGCGTCAACACATGTCCACATCACACATGCTCACCCATCCTTGTGAGTGAGCATGGAGTTCAGCCCAGCCAGTCTTCTTCCTACCTGCAGTCACAATCCCCCAGGATGCAGAGGAGGACAGTCGTCTACAGATGAACAAGATCCGGGCACAGCTTATTGGGGCTTTCAAGGAGCAGATGGAGATGCGGCGCAGCCTGGTGGAGCTGGAGAATACTAACATTGAGCTGCACATAGACATGTCTCGCCACCTCCTGACCATTGCAGAGTGAGTGCCCTGCTTATAGGCACAGCACATCCCCTAAGGGAAGGGAAGCCAAGGAACAGAGGGGGCGCTGCTCCTCAAGAAAACAGGTCCTGTCTCTATTCCTCTCCCGTTATGACCCTATTGGTAAACTGGGCCAAACAAGAGACACTTTGAGATCCCTTGGGCCTCTTACGGTTGGGGTCCAGAGCCAGCCCGGGGGGGGGGGTCAATAAATGTTACCACAATCTCTCCCATGGTTCACTTACCAGTATGTGTCCTTGCCCTGAAGACAGAGTGAGCCTGTGCAGAGAATAGCTGGGATGCCCACACCAGACTCTGGAGGTGAAGGGGCTCTCGTAGTCATTACACTGGGACAATGGATATCCCTCCAATTGTCCTGGAGAAACCTGGACACAATACCTACTTAGGGCTGACTTCAGTCATCACTGTCACACTCAAACCCTTTGCTTCTTTTCACCTCTACTCTTGCTTCTCCCCGTAATTCCCCTCCTCTTCTCCTCCTCTCCCTCCCTTCTCAATTCCCTTCCCGCCCCTCCCTTTCTCCTTCCCTTCCCCTCCCTTTCTCCTTCCCTTTCCCTCCCTTTCTCCTTCCCTCCTCTTCCTCTCTCCTTCCCTGCTCTCCCTTTCTCCTTCCCTTCCCCTCCCTTTCTCCTTCCCTTCCCCTCCCTTTCTCCTTCTCTTTCCCTCCCTTTCTCCTTCCCTCCCCTTCCTTTCTCCTTCCCTCCTCTTCCTCTCTCCTTCCCTGCTCTCCCTTTCTCCTTCCCTTCCCCTCCCTTTCTCCTTCCCTGCTCTCCCTTTCTCCTTCCCTTCCCCCTTTGTTTGGAACACAGTCTTGTATATAACTCAGGCTGGCCTGGAGTTTATGGTCTTTCCCTTCCATCTCCTGGGTGCTGGAATGACAACCGTACATCACCACCCTTTGTCGTGGCCACTGTCGTCACCGTGCTGACCTTCCTCCTCTCTCTCCAACTATGCGAACAACACTGCTTACACCGCAGTTATTCTAAACTTCAGCAATGCAATCGGAGCTGTGCTGTGGTGGCACAGGCCTGTAATCCCAGCACCAGGGAGGCAGCGGCAGGTGGATCTCCAGGTTCGAGGCCAGCCTGAAAACCCTGTCTTGAGGGGGAGAAAAAGGAAAACCAACGCAGTCACAGTGTCTTGCCCTTTCTGGCCAGGTATCTGCTTGCCAGGCTTCCTTGGTCTTCCTTTTCTGCCCTGTTTCCATGGATCCTGTTTAGGCTCAATGTGTTACCCTTGCTACCAGAGCCCAGACACGTTCCTAGTGTCCCTGGTCACACAGTTGTCTCCTGAGGACAGCATGTTTCCATAGGAGGTGGCTGTGGCTGGCTCTGTGGGGTCAGGGGTCATATGTGGGGCTGGAGTGGATGCATATGTGGAGAAGATCATGAGTGGGACCTGATTTCTCGCCATCGTTTTCCCACGCCTGTGAGGAGGCTAGCAGGCCTGGAAAGCTCTCCGCTCAGGCACGATTGATTCCTGATTCCTGTGTCCTGGCTGCAGCTGGGAGCGAGAGAAGACCCACCCCCACGCAAACACGGACAAGAGTGAGAAGGACGAGGAGCCAGGGGATGCTGACGGAGAGGAGGTCGAGGCTTCAGAGCCCCCGGAGGTGGCTCTGGCCAGAGAGGAGGTGAACCTGCTCCTGGCTGAGCAGCAGAAAACCGCAGCCCTCAAGGTGAGAGAGAGGGATGCTCAGCCGGGCAATGGTGCTTATTGTCTGAGCCTGGCAACCTGTTGAGAGTACCTGCCCATCCCATGAAACACAGCAGCTCTGTGGTCACAGCCACCTGAGTCAGCCTCAGTGACTTGGTCTAGGGCTGGGACATAGCTCAGTTGGCAGAGGTTTGCTTAGGAAGCACAAGGGCCAGGTTTCTGTCCCCAGCAACAGATGTGGTGCTAGAGAGGAGTGAAAAAAAAGATAGGGAGGCAGAGGCAGGCAGATTTCTGAGTTCAAGGCCAGCTACAGAGTGAGTTCCAGGACAGCCAGGATTACACAGAGAAACATGTCTCAAAAAAATAGAAAAAAATTAAAAATGAGCTTCTTTTATGAGCTGTTTAATAGCTGGCTAGTGAGTAAACTCGGGTTAGGAAAATTACAGAACTCTTGCTTGAGGAAGCTTTGTGGGAAGGCTAGTGATGCTAGGAACTGGGCGGCTCATTAGCTAAATGCTGGTGGTGTTCTCAGAAAGTAGGAAAAGTGTCCAGTGATGTCAAGTTGTTAAAGGCAGGCATTGTTTAATTCTCTTACCAGCTATGAAACCAAAGCAAAGGGCCCTTCATGTTGTTATTCCTGCCCACTTCAGTCTAGGCTTCTGCCTCCTCACTTCAGATTAATGATTAGATTTCCTACAGCTTTTATAATAAGAAAGATAGCTTGGCAGTTGTGGCATACATCTTTAATCCCAGCAGACTCAGGAGGCAGAGGCAGGCAGATCTCTGTGAGTTCCAGGCAAGCCTGGTCTACAGAATGAGTTCCAGGACCGCTAGGGCTGTTACACAGAGAAACTCTGTTTTGAAAAATAACAACAACGAAAGGAAGATAGATGCCTGTTGTCTAAGCCAGTGATATACTCAGCTAGATGACATGAACATCAAGGGCAAATTCAGATATCAACAAATGATGGAGCCTGCAGAGGTGAGCCTGTCGGTCAGGAGCCTGCAGAGGTGAGCCTGTCGGTCAG